CCCCAAAACCCCAAAACCCCAAAACCCCATCAGAAAGCTTAAATCATGGACCTTGCTTAATTTATAAATAAATTTTTTTAAATCTAGAGAGTATTAAATATTTTGCAATAAATTTAATGTAATTAAGTAATTGTTAAAGTCCCAAGCATCTTGCTTGGGCTACTTGGAGTATTTTAATCAATAATCCCTTCAATACACTTTCTTTTATGTTTCTCGTACTATTAGAAACAATCGTTATTCTATACTATACTATGCTTCTAATGTGCAGATTGCATGTTTCTAATGTGAAATCCGAATAAAACACACCTAATAATAACTCAATCAAGAATGAATAATTGGAGAATTAAATAGATTCTTATTTGACTCAGCCTGGCATTTCATTCAATGTTTTTAGAGATATTGACTCTAAATTTATAGATCTAAGTACTTTTAGTAACAATGATTTTTGGTTGGGTATTTCTTCTGGGATATTGGCACTTAATCTTCTTATCATATTCTCGATATTATTCCTAGCCTCTAAGATGAAAAGTAGAGAAATTTCCAATTAATCTTCAATTCCTAAAAAAATGCTTTGCACTGTTCTAGTATTTTACCATACAATTTTTTAGATGCCTCTGTTAGAGGTATTGATTCGAGCAATATTTACAGTACCTTCAGCAAGTGAGGCTAGTCAAGTTTAGGTATTTGTAAGGTACTTCATCTCCACTACCTCAATTATTATTTTCTTTGTGACAATGCTTTTCATAATAAGAATATTCAATGTCAATGTTCCAAATGATATTATACCTTGGTGCTATCCAATTTCAAAAATTGTATATCTTAACTTTACTCTCAGATTCTTACAAGTCGCTAGTATAACAATGGATAAGAAAGGAAATTTGAAGATTTATTTTCTAGTAGCGCTCTATTTTATTAAAGGATTTTTAGCATTTTACAGGTTACTTTTTTCTCCAAACTATAATTGAAAAATAGACTTCTTAATCAAATTCAGAGAATTTTTGGTATTTTTAGCTTATAATATTTGTTTAATTTGCCAGATTCTAAAAGATAGTAAGAACTTTGACATCATTTATTTAATAGTATTCTCCCCTTTCATTACTTTAAGCTGGAAACTAATAGAATAAATAAGAATAAGATAAATATTATTTAAATTAAAAAAAAGAACTCTAAAAATTGAAATCGAATATGAATTTGCACTATTTGTGCTCACCACAATTATTGAAAATTCTAGTAATGAGACATTTTCTAACTAACAAGCACAGGGATAATTGCTTGATATCATAATCTCACATATTGAAAATTGTGATGACGAATTATGTATTTGCTCTGAAATCGAAAATTTCTTTGAGCTAATGAAATATAAAGAATTCGAAAATAAAGAGGTTGTGTCATTAGTATTAGAAGATCGTAAAAAATATAAGAAAATTATAGATGAACAAGGCCTAATAGGCAGCGTATCAAATTTCACTCAATTAGTAAACTAAAAATCTAATCAAGTATCAACTCATTTACAAATGCTGAATGAAATAGATATATTATCAAAAAAAGATTAAAGTGAAGATAAATTGAATAAGGCTTTTTAAAGAAATGAAAATGATGAAGGTCGTTAAGGGGAAAAATTAAATTTAATTTAAAAATAGAAGTTGTCAAAGAATCAGAAAACTTAACTCTTTAAGATAAATATTGATGAAATAAAAATGAGATATATTTCTGAGTTAGTTTATCTATTTTTCCATGAGATTAGAAAATTACATTCAGATTCTCTTAAAGTTTAGTTACTCTGCTTTCATTTCACATTAAAATATCTTAAAAAGGATATGCTCTGCATTTTCTAGATGAAGAATTTTATTATCAGCTAGCTAAGTTTTATAGATAAGTTAACTTTTCACATAAATGAGATGTGTCTCTTGTAAGAGGCAGATAATATTCAGTCAAGAAATAAATTATACGATGAAGATAGCCATAGTATTAAAGGAGAGTATTTTATCAAGATTGACAAGCTAAATAAAAGATTTAGTTATTTATCAGATTTACTTTGTACTGGAATGATGACATTCTGGAAAGAGATTGAGAAAACAGATGTTGAAATGGACTTACTACTAAAAATGAGCGATAAGATAGCTGAAAATATTAGAGAAACACACTAAATTTTCAAATAAATTGAATAGACTGCAATTATGAAAGACTACTAAATATACTTTCAGTATGCGGTAATTTAGCTACATGTATTCAACGATATTTATATGTATGAAACATATATAGGCAAAATGAAAAGTTTGATTGAGTATGCAAAAATGTTCGAAAGGAATGATAAAAGTGATTTTAAAACGGAATACTAGAACTATTTGATAGTAGATGCGAATGGATAGAAATTCGGTCAAGTCATCTAAATGAACAAAAATTTTATGACATTCTTGGATTATGAATTTAAAGAGGAGAGATCTTTTAAGATAGATGATATGATGCCAACACTGATATGTGAAAAACATAATCTATTCTTAGATAGATACAATAAAACTGGATAAAGCCTTGTTTTAAATTAGAAGATTTGTTTATTTTTCAAGAAGAGAAGTGGTTATGTTGTTCCTGCAGAAGTACTAATAAAGTTTCATTATTCTGCAGAGCACTAGTATATATTCTTGTCTATGGTAAAGCCGATATATGAGATGAAGCCTTTTAATAGCTCAGTAAGCTACAATATTAATCAGCTATTATTTATGATAACTGACAATGAAGATGGTTTTATTTATGAATATTCGGAGTCTTTTGTACCGATATTGGGTCTTAATACAGAATTTTAGAGCGAAAATATCAGAAAGAAAGTAGATAATGTTCTTGTTGATTTAAATTTCTAGCAATTTAAACATGGAAGGAAACCAAGATATATTGGGGGAATTCTTTATGAAGATATACACATGTTAGAAATGGTAGAGCTAATTGAAGATAATGAAAATATTCGATCAAGTTTTTTCCTAAGGGACTAAGAAATAAGATTTAAAGTAAAGACAAGAATTTTTGAAGAGAGGTATTGTGGTGGTGCATTAGATATTAACATATTTTGTATGGTAATAATGGATGAAACAATGGAAGATTTTTCACAAATCCCATCTTTGTTAAAAATAAAGGCAAACCATGAAAAGTCAAGATTTGGTAAAACAATAATTTCCTCTGAATAATAATTGAAATAAAGCTATGAGGATAATCCCTAGGAAGATAACGAATCAATTGCATCATCAATGAATTCTACCAACACAAGTCAAGTAGAATACAAATCTATGAACTATCTTACATCATAAAAAACACCTAGGTCTCTCAAAATAATGTTTCAGCTTGCTTTTGTACTCTATCTTGTGTTGCTTGTCATACCTTCAATTAGTTTGGGTATTAACATTTTAAGGCAATCATAGTCAGAGTTAGACATTCATGTTGTTCAATTAGCTTGTTAAAGGTTAAATTAAGTTAGCAAATAGGTGCTGTATGCTCGTTCACTCCTCAACATGTAAAATAATAAGGCTTTGTAAATGACAAGCATATATCCAAATAGATTTGAAAACCTTAAGTAAATTCAGAGTATTTATATTGATGAACTGAGAGGGACTTAGTCAGAAATCTAAAATTCTAGATTTTAAAAATCATCTTAGTTCATGAAATACATTGAAGAAGAAAGTGTGTAACTCTATTTTCTCAATTCCTTGAATAACTATTTCATGAAGAGAGAAAAGGTAGACTTAGCAATTAATCTCTATATTGCTAGATTATCAGAATTTAATTAGATGAACCAGAGCTAATACCAAGGAAATTTAAGCATTTTTACTTTGAATCCAAATAATTCACTAAATTATAGACCAACTTAGGATGAATAGTCGATTTATTTTCTTATTGAGAATGGTATTAAGGGTATTTTATCAAGTGTTGGAATTACTATTAATTATTTTGTTAAAGATGCAGAAGATCATAGTAAATAAAATATAAGCTCAACTGAAATAGTAACTATTGTTTCGATAATTACTATAATGGTTGTAGGGATTATTTTTACACCTATTTTTAGTAAATCAGAGATTAGAAGGTATCTTGCAATAAAATTTTTCCTGAATTTGGATTAATTTGTTGTCTAGTAAATGAAAAGAAATGTTGATCATTGCTAGACTATATTAGACGAGAAAAAATAAAATCATGTCAGCTAAGAGTATTAGAAATTTATGAAAGAGATCAAAAGCATAAAAATTGAAAGTGATTTCCATAAAGGAAAATCTTAAAATCAAGATCATAACAAACTAGTAGTTCCTAGAGAGTAATTGCAATTCAAAATGATGACAAACTATATGATAAATAACACATTTTTAGAGTAATAACAAATTTAAGACTATGAGAAATAAAAATTAAGATTAACTCTAGGCAAGAATCGTAATTACAATATTGATTTCAAAGATCTATCTGAAATGCAGAGTGATAGCTTAATATCAATGAATTCAAGCTTATTTGGTGGCTAGAAATTATTAGCAGCTGAATAAGGAAGAAAAAATACACAGCAAACGAAAGATATCAATATCTTTTAAGCAGACAATCATAATCAACAAGATAATATTAAGAAGTAATTTAGACCTTCAAATGTTGATTAAACTTACACTCCATAATATACTTCAGCTCCTAATATTGGAAATAGTGCTCCTAACATTTTTATTAGTAGAGTCTAGAGTGAACTTAATTAGCAATCTTTGTCTGACTCCTCCCTTTCTCAATCTATAGTTTCATCACAGTACTACAAAAGTATAGTTTTACCAGAAAGTAAGAATCTTGAAGAAACTCATAACAAATAAATATTGCCGACAGTAACAGCTTAGGAAATAAAGTCTAACGAAATAGATAAAAAGATGCTAAAAATATTGATGAAAGTCAAGAGATCTAAACTATTGATGTTTGCCACATCTATATTCATTATCTTGATTCTCTCTGGATATTTTGTAATTACTTTTTTCATGGCTATAAATACATTTGATACAAGTGCTGAAGTTAATGGAAAGTTAAAAGCAATATTTTAGAGAGGTTCCTGCCTTGATATTACTATTAATTTTTACAGAGAGACTCTTATCAGATAAGAACTTATATAGTTTGAAGGAGTTAATTATACAAGTGGAATCGATTTCATGTTTGATAAATGCTAGCTGTAAGAAAAAGAATACAATCGATTAAGAGTTGATGACCTTTCATATCTCGCATTCGCTTTGCCAATATTAAATAAGATTGAATCTAAGGAGTTCTGTGACTATGTATTTAAAGATACCTACAAATAGTAAAATTAATTATGCAAAACAAGCCTAAAAGGCATTTTCAAGAAGGGCTTTAGTAATGGCATAAATTACATCTACAATACATTATTCAAGAATACAATCTAAATTAAAGCAGCTTTACTCTAGAAAGATAAAGAAACAATAATTTAGATGATGAAAGATCCATTCGTTGTTGAGATAATCGATATTAACTACCTGGTTTTAGATCCTGCATTCAAAATGATATAAGATAGTACAAGAGATAGTGTTTTAAAGCATATTTAAAAATTACTGTCTAATTTCATAGTCGCTTTTGTGGTTTTTATTTCTATGTTGACATTATCACTGCTTGTGTTGATATTTTATGGATTTAAAAGGTTAAGGCATTCGATGAGCAATACTAACATAATATTGAGAGTTATTCCTTATGAAGCAATCAGCAAGGATGAAAGGGATGAAATCAGAAACTTCTTCGATTAATGATTCCCTATTCTATTACATGAATTATAATTATCCAGATTCAAAAATGTAATCTCATTGTATTTATATAGATAATAAATTTGGAATTTCTTGTGTTAATGCATCTATACTCTCAATCGGGGTTTTGGGGTTTTGGGGTTTTGGGG